AATTAGAACACTTACGTGCTTCGTTACAACGATCGATTTGAACGTATTCGGATTGGACTGGATAACTGCTTTTCAACTTAGCGATATGACGCTTAATGCTATTTGCAGCCAAATTTCAACAATAAAACAGGCAAGTAATGTTTCAATAAAGTCGTCAAATTGCAAATTTCTTCCGGAAAAATTATTTCCAGAACTTTTCGATAATGCTATGGGTCTTTGTAATAAAACTAAGGCACATTTAATTATTAAACCAAACTGTCAACCTGTTTTTCGACCTAAGCGCCCGGTAGCATACGCAGTTCAACATTTGGTTGAAGAAGAAATCAAGCGACTTCAAGATCTCGACATTATCGCACCCATCAATTACTCTGACTGGGCCGCACCAATCGTAGTTATCAAAAAGCCAAATGGTAGCATTCATATTTGCGCTGATTTCTCAACTGGTCTTAACGACGCGCTTGAATCTTACAAGTATCCACTACCGCTTCCAGAGGATATTTTTGCAAAAATTAGCAATGCAACAGTATTTAGTCATATAGACCTTTCGGACGCTTTTCTCCAAATCGAAGTTGATAGCAAATCGCAAGAACTTCTCACAATAAACACGCATCTAGGTTTATTCAAATACAAGCGTATGGTTTTTGGCGTCAAAACTTTTCCGGCAATTTTTCAACAAATTATGGATAAAATGCTTGCGGGCTTAGATTGCGTAGCTGCTTACATTGACGATATCTTTGTCTCAGGTAGAAACCAACAAGAGCATGACAACAACTTACATGAAGTTCTACAACGTATTTATCAATACGGGTTTAAACTCAAGATCGCAAAATGCAATTTTTCAGTTCCTGAAATTGCTTACTTGGGATATATTGTCAGTAAAGACGGCATTCGCCCAGATCCAAAAAACATTGAAGCAATCAAGACAATGCCTGCGCCAACCAATCAATCCTTCAGAAGACTATGTCATCGCTGCAGTAGAGTTTGAAATTGAAAGTAAACAAATTTTACATAACTCACTTGATAAGCTGCCGCTTACCAGCAAAATGATTACTTACGAAACAGCTAAGGACAAGGTTTTAGTTAAAATTCTCGAATATGTAACTGAAGGATGGCCATCAAACTGCAACAACAGTGAGTTAAAAGCTTACTTTAACCGAAAAAACGACATATGTATAGTTGACGGATGTTTAATGTTCGGACAACGCATTATTATACCTCAAATTTTCCGAAAGCGCATTCTTAAAGAAATTCACCGAGGTCATCAAGGCATAAGTCGTACTAAAGCCATCGCGCGGAACTACGTTTATTGGTCAAATATCGATTACGATATTGAAGCAATGGTGAAAAGTTGTTCAAATTGTGCCGCAGCAGGTAAAATGCCCACAAAAACAACTTAACATCCTTGGCCAAAACCTTCTGATTCTTGGGAACGGCTCCATATTGATTATGCAGGACCAATAGATTCATACTACTATTTGGTCGTAATCGATGCGTTCTCAAAATGGCCAGAAATTATACAAACAAAATCTATAACAGCAACTCAAACAATTTCCAGCTTGAAAGAAATTTTCGCTAGATTTGGGTTACCGAAGACAATGGTTTCAGACAATGGTACTCAATTTGTGAGTCACCAATTTCAACAGTTTTTAGCGGAAAACGGCATTAGTCATATACGAAGCAGTCCGTACTATCCCATGTCAAATGGACAAGCCGAAAGGTTTGTGGATACTTTAAAACGAGCACTCAAAAAGTTAAATGGGAAGGGGGTAACTGCTGAAAATCTTCAAACATTTCTACAAGTTTACCGATCAACTCCGAATAAGCAAAATGAGGACAGTAAATCGCCAGCTGAAGTTTTACTAAAAAGAAATATCCGTATTAAACTTGATTTGATTAAACCAACGCCAAATGCCAAGTTTAAAAAGAAGTGCGATACACAACTCAAAATGAAAGCGCAATTTGACAAAAGGCACGGTGCAAAGCCAAAGTTTTACGAAAAACAAGAGTTCGTTTATGTCAATATATTTAAAAACAAACACTTTGAATGGACAAAAGGAAAAATAATCGAACGCATAGGTAACGTCATTTATAATGTTCGCTTACAAAATGGCAAACTTATTCGTGCACATGCCAACCAAATTCGTGACCGTAAAGATCAAGGAAATGAGTTATCTTTAGAAATATGTGCTTCCGAAGATATCGCCAACGAAAAGTGTTTAGTTGATGCATTTGGCCTCTACGAAACAACACCTAAAGATGTGGTCGAAATAACTAACAACAACATGGTTTCGACTCCAGATCAATCTTTCAACGAAGTAACCGAGATTGCAATCCCTCAAACTGAGAAGCACAATGAGGCAGTTGTTCCGTATACCCGACCAAGGCGTACTAGACATCCTATTGACCGTTATAGACCCTAGAATCACCGCATTGGAGATTTAATCTCAAAAGGGGAGGTGTTGGCAACTCTGCCAAGATGACAGATGACAGATAAAGAAGAATTAATATTTTAATTCTGTCAGTTATTTGGAACTTGTGAAATAATAATAACTTGGAGTTTTTTGAATAAATAAATATCTAAATTATACAGATATAACAAGAAACATGCTAGAAGATTAAGAAATGATGAAAAATGGTACCTTAACGATCATCAATTAGAAGTGGTTAATAATTATAAATATCTATGAATAAATATGAAATATAACGCAAAATTCGATAACCACTTGAACGAAAAGTTAAAGGAAGCTTAATTGGCTATTCATTGTACCTGGAAAAATGTCTTAGGAAATCCGAAAGTGTCACTGCCCGTAAAATACAAAGTTTTTGAAGCCACAGTTAAGTCAGTTCTAAATTATGCAGCGCAAATCTGGGGTGTTGATAAATATGACGCAGTAGAAAAATTGCAAACATTTTATATAAAGAGAACGTTTCGTTTGCCGAAAAATAGCCCAAATTATATGGTGCATTTAGAAACTAGTCTACCGACGCTATATACCCAAACATTAAAATTGCATTTTGATTACATCAATCGTGTTAGGAATTTGCCAAGCAATAGGATTCAAAAAACATTAGCGCAGTACCTAATAAATGAAAAAAAATTATTTTTTGAAAAATGGTTAAATCTGGCATCCGAGTTAAATATAACTAATGGTTTGAGTATTAATGAAAACTGGAAAATGTGGCAAAAAAATATAATAACGAAACTAAGTATTGAAGAACGTAGAAATTTTGTAGAAACGGCGAGAGATGCATATAGCAAGTTGAATTATGATCTAGGTGTCAATAATTACCTTCACGAGCAATATGACATAGAAACAATAAGGACAATCTTCAAAACCCGTGGCGAGCTCCTACGATTGTGCTACGTGCCGCACGAAAGTCTAGACACGCTGTGTACGATATGCAACCTTAAATTGAAAGGCGATGTTATACACTTAGTAGGCGAATGCCCAATTTTTAAAGAACAGATTGCTGTGTACTTCGGAAAACTCGCGCTCGATGTCAATGAAACCATATGGTTACTGAATGGCCCCAACTGGAGATTGTTAACGGCGTTTATTAAAACTACATTTAAATATAGGCAAAATATTATTAATAAAGATTTTTAAATTAACTTATATAAAATCTATTATTTTTGTTATAGTAATTTAATTTAATATTTATGTTGTATTGATTTCATAAGTAAGAATATCTATTTAATATTTATAAAAATTAGATTAATTAGTTATTAGTTAATTAGCTATTAGATTAATCTAAACTTCCGACAGACGGCTAAAATGCCATAGCTGTAAGCTTTATGTATATTTATTATAATTATATATATTATAGTTATTATATAATTTCGATGTAATATAATAACTTAGAGACAGCATATGATCGAAAGTAAGAAATTATATTTGTAGTGTTGCCACAGTGTAACTTTCAAGAATTAAATTTAAATACATAAACAAATATTACATATTTATTTTTTTCAATTATTTTACTAAAAGTAAAATAAAACAAACTTATATAAAAATAAATAAATAAAAATAAATAAATTTACTTATTTATAAATTTAAATTTTTAAATAATTAAAATAAAATTAAATAAACTTACTGTAAAAATATTGTAAATTTATTGTATGAGCGATTACGAAAAAGTTGTACGTCGGCACTCTCTAATTAGTGAAAATGGCCTAAATGGCTATATAACACTAAACACTGATGACTCTAAAATAATAAATCATTCCCCAAACAAACTTTTAGAAAATTCAAAAATTGAATCAAGCATAACAAAAATAGCTAGTGAAATCGCCATCGCTAACAAAATTAAATTAATAAATAATAAAAACGATAATATAAAACTTAGTTCCCCAAATCAACACGAAACAATACTATCCAATACACGCAAAGAAACTAATATGAACACGCGGCAGGCGTCAATCAATGCGACTTCTGGTCATCTAAAAGAGAAAAAGGCTAAATCAGTTCAGGTGAAAAATATACAACAACAAATTCAACTACTTCAACAACAGCTTCAAAAATTGTATAATGAAGAAAAAAATAACCTCCTCCAAAATAAAGGATCGAATCAAGCTGCAGCCACCAGAAACGAAACCTCTGTTAACGACACTTGGACAGTAGTTAATAACCGTAAACGTCAACGAGATAGTCCAAGTAAAAATCATCAAGTAAGCCAAAAACAAACCAAGCTAGACTCATACTGGCTAAATGAACCCGTCAAACCAAACCGATACGCAGATCTCCAGGAAGATGACTCTGAAGAAACTGAAGAATCGTTAAAAAATAATGATACGGTTCCAAAATTAATGAAACCTCCACCTATATTTATTGATAAGGTATATTGCATCAAGCCTCTAATAGATGTGTTAAACGAACATGCGGCAAATCAATTCGACTTAAAAGTGCTAAATCCAAGTCAAGTAAGAGTTCAACCTTCTACATCTGACTCTTACGTAAGCATTGTAAAGCAGTTGGAGTTAAAAAACACTGAATTCTACACTTACCAACCAAAAACAGAGAGAAGCTTTAGGGTTGTATTGAAAAATTTGCATCATTCAACCGATATTGATGAAATCAAAAATGCACTTCTGGAGCATGAACATACGGCTGTAAACGTTTGGAACATTAAACGTAGAGGGTCAGGTGAACCTCTCCCCATGTTTATTATTGAACTTGCACCAAACCTAAATAATAAGGATATTTATTTGGTTAAGAAACTCTTGTATACTACAGTTACATTTGAACCCCCTCACCCGAAACGGGAAATCCCTCAATGTGCAAACTGCCAACAGTATGGGCACACAAAAGGATACTGTCACCGCAAACCTAAATGCATCAAGTGCGCTGGAAATCATGCTTCTGTAAATTGCGAAAGGAAAAGCAGATCCAATGATGTCAAATGTGTTCTATGTGAAGGAAATCATCCGGCCAACTACAAAGGATGTCAAATATACAAAAACCTGCAAAAAAAAATGTATCCCCAACTAAGACCTAAGGCGCCGGAAGTACAAATTCAAGAAAATCCTCTTCCTTCGCTAAACAAAAAACACATCACGACTTCTCATTCACCTGAAACATTCGCACAAATAGTAAAGTCAGACACCAGTAGCGAAACAGAGGAGAAGCTTTCACCAATTCCAAATAATTTTGTGGAAGAATTCCGTGAGATGACATCACTGTTGAAGCAAATGATGCAACAAATCGTAGTAATGACAAATTTACTGATCAACTTGACGACTAAACAAAATTCTTGATTTAGTAGTAGTCATATGGAACGCTAATGGTCTATCAAAACATGCTATCGAAATAAAAGCATTTTTAAAATTAAAACAGGTCGACATAATGCTAGTATCAGAAACCCATTTCACGACGCGTAGTTTCTTTAAAATTCCGAACTACGAACTTTATCACACAATGCATCCCAGTGGTAAAGGAAATGGTGGCTCTGCGGTCCTCATAAGGAACTCGATAAAACATTATGAAGCAAAACCATATTGCAAGAATGAAATCCAGGCAACAAACATTGTAGTACAAACTAAAGAAGGTGACATGACTTTCTCATCACTCTACAGCCCACCGCGCCACAGTATCACGAAAGATATGTACATATCATTTTTTCAGCTGCTTGGATCTAGGTTCCTAGTAGGCGGAGATTTTAATGCTAAACACTTAAAATGGGGTTCCCGCCTAATATCTCCAAAAGGACGTCAACTCTTCGAAGCAATAAATGTACTCAACCTCCACACAATCTCAACAGGTGAACCCACATATTGGCCAACGGATAGAAGAAAAATACCTGACTTAATTGATTTTGCGGTATCAAAGGGGGTACGTATCGAAACAACTACCTGTAAGTCCAATTTCGACTTGTCATCTGACCACTCGCCAATAATAATCACTCTCAATGACTGCTGTGAAATTATGGAAAAATGTATTCTTCATAACAAAAACACTGACTGGAATAGTTACCGTCAACTAATTTCAATTGGTCTAAATACCGAAGTCAGGTTAAAAACTGAATCTGACGTAACTGAAGCAGTAGAGCATTTCAACTCTTGTGTCCAAATGTCTGCATGGGAATCAACTCCACCAATTTCTAAAAGTGTTAA